CTTGTCCTTGCGCTTCTTCTTGCGGCTCGAGCAGCTGGGGCGCGGCGGGCTTCGCTTGCCGAGCAAACTGCCAAGGAAGGCTATGTCTGCGACATGGCCTGGCGCCAGGCTGCTGGTGCCTGGCGCCAGGCTGCTGGTGCCTGGCTGGCTGCTGGTGCCTGGCTGGCTGCTGGTGCCTGGCCCGCTGGCTGGTGCCTGGCTGGCTGCTGGTGCCAGGCTGGCTGGTGCCTGGCTGGCTGGTGCCTGGCTGGTTGGTGCCTGGCTGGCTGGTGCCTGGCTGGCTGCTGGCGTCGTAGGTGCCTGGATGTCTGCTGGCGGCGTAGGTGCCTGGCTGTCTGCTGGCGGCGTGGGTGCCTGGCTGTCTGCTGGCGGCGTAGGTGCCTGGCTGTCATCTGGTGCCTGGCTGTCTGCTGGTGCCTGGCTGTCTGATGGTGGCACCTCGCTGAGTCCCGAACGTTCTCTCTCTCTCTCTCTCTCTCTCTCTCTCTCCCTCTCTCTCTCTCTCTCTCTCTCTCTCTCTCAACTCCCCCCTCTCCTCTCTCTCTCTCTCTCTATCTCCCTTCTCTTCTCTCTCTCTGTACTGGGACGCCGAGGTGGTCCTAGGGCCCTCAAGCCCTCGCACTACGACAATGCGAACTCTGCAACGCCAGGTGAAAAGATCCGAAAAGAAAAAAAAAAAAATAGGAAACGAAGAACAAAATAGATATTAACCAGCAAGTAAATAAAGAAAAAAGGACCGTGCCACGACCGAAGCCGAGCTAAACAACGACCGCAGCAACCGTGGTAGTTTCTGCCTCTATGGACCAGCGCACCAGCGAGCCGTCAACATCACGGCGATCTCCGAGCCGCAGAACATCGACTACATGGAGCATGTGCGACGATACTCACCCGTAGGGGGGACCTACCCTGACCACGCCTTCGAGCACGTCTATCGGGGCTGGCAGCGGCCCGACGTGCCCACCATCCTTCCCGACACCCGTCCCCTCTCGAGAGCCGACTGGCAGCGTCACCAACAGCACCAGCAGCGCATCCAGCAGCGGGACCCACGTGACGCAGGACAGCACGGCACGCCACGCTTCCGCTCCCCCGCGCGAGTCCCGACAGGCGGCAACACGGCCTACGACGGGGTTGCCGCCTACTACCGTGGCCCCATAGGCGCCAGGCCCGCGGCTGCTGGAGCAGCCGCCTCCAGCTACGGCCACGCCCCCCACGCCAGGGTACACCCAGCGGTCATCGGCTACCCGCGTGCACCCGAGCAGGCCCTAAGGGCCACCTCGCCAGTGCCAGGGTCCACGCGCGCCTGGGGCCTTTACTCAGGCCGACATGATGGCACCTCCAGCAACCAGCCCGCAGTGTTAACCCCTGCGGCTTCAGCCCAGGGGGCTGCAACAAACCGTGGCAGGGCTGGGCGCCCCGAAGGATGGCGTGATGCGAACGTGCGCGCTTGGCAACCGCGCCAGCACACGCCCCCGCCAAACGTGGCTGCAGCACTGCGCCCTGCCCAGGCAAAACCCGCCCCACCTGAGCGGGAGAGGCAGCCGCTTACCCCGCTCGTCCTCACGCACATCCAGGCGCATCACAGCGCCTCCCCTCGGCACAGCGAGGGAAGCGCCCACCACGTCAGCCCCCGCCCCGACGCGGTCGACCCCGACCAGGCCACAGCCACGGCGGAAGGCGGCATAAGCGCCTCTCGCCAGCCCAGCCCATCACCCTGCGCGGCGCCGATCCGATCCCCGAGCAGGGCGGATTCTGAGCGCGCTAATGCCCAGGCGACTTCGCCACGCGACCGTCACACGGGCGGGCGCGTCCCGCGCAGCAGGACCTGAGCCGCCACAGTTCACGCAAGGCCCCAGGGAGCTCCACGAGCTCGCCGCCTCGCGAGACTCAGGCTGATGGCCGAGCCCCCGAAGTGGTGCCACGCTTCGGAGCCAGCGTCATCGAACCTGGCCAGGCGGTTGACCTCGAGCCGACGCCGTCCACGGACCACGAGCCGCCGCTGACCACCCGCGTGATCGTCCCCATCGACGAGGCGCCAACCTTCGACCCGTTCAAGAACAAGTACCGTGTCAAGAACCTCGTGGCGGGTTTCGGCGGTGGCTCACCGCTCTCACCTCAGAGTCGGGGCGGAGCCCCCGCCACCTCAGCCGCTGCCGCGGCAGCGGCGGCCCCGCGGGGAATCAGCCCTGTCCGCAACGTGGGCCTCACGGCAGCGGGCAAGGACGAGGCCCAGCGCCAGGCCTCCGACCGTGCTGCTGGAGCCGTTCCACCAGATGCTGCTCATCAAGATACTGACGGGGCGGGCGCGCCACCGCAGGAGGGACCAGCGGTGTCGCGTGCGCAGTACATGCGCGAGCGTTGTGCCGCCGCCGCGCCTAGCCGCCGCCGCTGGTTCGCTTTTGTTTCTGTGTTCGGCAGGACGGATCGAGGAGTCGCCTCCTTCTCCCTCTGCTGCCGTCTCACCTCTCCTCCCCTCGTCCCCTACAGTACTGGAGTGAGGAGGATTTTTCGTGACAATTTTACTGACGTTTATGAACCCCCCCTGGCGCAGTGCCGACCGTGTCCCGCCTATACTTCTGGCCTGACGGCGGCTTCAGCCCCGGTCAAGCTAATCCATAGGAACGCCATGAGCTCCTACTGTGGCCACGCCTTCTACCTGGGCGAGGGTCAGGCTGACCTACACCGTGCGGGGCGTGCAAACCCCAGCTCCACCGATGGAGACGGGCCAGGTCGCTCCATACACCTCGTCAGCCTTAACATCACCAGTCTCTCAGCGAATTGGCCAACCATCACCGCCCTTGGTGTCGACCACAACGCCGCAGTCATAGCACTGCAGGAGACCCGACATGCCAAGCCGACTAGGCAAGCCATCGCTACCAGCGCCGCCAATCCACTCCACGGAGGATACCACGCCAGTCTTGGACCTGACCTAGACCTGGCGCGAGCCCAGCGCAGAGCTGCCCACGGCGGCACAGACCACACCGTTGTGGGCAGCACTGGCGCCTCGGGAGGGGTCGCCATCCTCTCTAAGGATGCCATTGTCGACTCCACTGTCGACGACAATGCGCCCTGTATCGCCGCCCTCAAGGCAAAGAAAAGATGGCACGAGGTCTTTCTCCCGCTCTGCACTCAACACCGCCGCAGGCGGCGACGAAACAACCACGGGCCCGCGGGGATCTACATAGCGAGCCTCAACGGGATTGCTGGAGGAGACATCACAAACAGAGAACGAAAGCGCACACAACACTCTTACAAGTAGAACACAAAATCAACAAACAGAAAAAGCAGAACATCAAAAGAAACATCACAAACAAAGCAAAATAGATAAGAACAAAAACAAAGACCAACAAGGAACAATTGGGCAACACATACACACAGATGACATACAAAAAAACAACATAACAACATTACAAAACTGACCGTAAGACAAAGCATACCTAAAACAAAATGCCACCCAACCAAACCCAGTAAACATCGACACATTGCAATAACAAAAGCACAAAAAAAAACACAAGAGTCAAATTTATCGCTTCGGCTGACTGCGCCGCCGCGAGGGTCGGCTCAGCCCCCTACTTCATCTGCATGGACGCCAATACGAACATTGACGACAACCCACACCATCTGCACATGTTGCAGCACGGATGGTTCAACGTTGCTGAGGGCACACCAGACCACACCATGCACACATACGGCAATATCCCTGACTGGGACCGCGTCACCAAGTGCCCCCGCACTTCGCGCATCGATTATATCATTGCCAACCAAGCGGCGCGATCCCTTGTCTCCGACTTCTGCTACCTTCGCGACTTGCCAGCGAAGTCTCATGTTGGCCTGCAGGTCACGCTAGACCTCAGTCGCCTCGACCATACGGCCCGACGTCTTCTTGCCCCCACGCCCTACCCTCCCGACGATGGAGCTCATGAGGGTCACGAGCTGCAGGCACTTGGGACCCTCATCGCTGGGCGATATCAGGACCGCATGGAACAGGCCGACACACGCGACGACGTGGAGCGCATGTTCGCCCTGGCTAACGAGGCCAGTCATGAGTACCATCTCACCCGTCTGCGCGACCTGCCACCACCACCGCCCGACCACCCAAAAAAGAAGCCCCCCACCATGCACGGGCTCACGCCCATGTTCGAGGAGCGACCAGTTGTCCCCCGCGCCTTCCCCACCTACTGAGCTTCCACGATACACATGAACCGACTGCGCAAGCTCCATCGGCAACTCTGTGAGCTTCGTTTCATCGGACAGCACCATCATTTAGATTGCCGTGCCATCCCGCCGAACCTCGCGCAGCGCATCGACTGCACGTGGACCGCGGCCCGCCTCCTATGCCACAAGCTGCGCCCCACGGTTCTCCTAGACTTCCCCGAGGCCTGGACCCCCGACGAGCCAGTGCCTCACGGAGAGCACCTTGACGTTTTGATCCAACACCTCGACTTAGAGCTGGCGCGACGTGCGAACCGTGCCAAAGCTGAACGCATCAAGATATGGGCAGAGGGCGTCCGCGAGCCAAGCGGGCGAAAGGCGGCCATATACGCACGGGCTGCTGACAGCTCGCCCACGGCGTATCTCCGCACGCCTACCACACCTGACGACACGCAACTCCACTGCGACACCAACGCCTTCAAACCTGACGAAGCTTGCACGGACGACAGTGACGCTGACACCGAAGCTGGCGGCTTCAGCCCCAGCGACGGTAGTTCGCCCGACACGGACAGCGACGAAGACCACACTCGTGAACCACCACCTGCGCAAGTCCCCGACATCCTCCCTGCCAACGCCATTGTTGCTAACACCAAGGACATGCTGAAGCTCATGGACGACACCTGGGAGCCCATCTTGGGCAGGTACCGTGCACGTGCGGGACATGACGCCGAAGCCATGCCGACGTGGGCCGACTTCTACGACGAGTACCGACAGGAGCTGCCTACGCCAGCACCAGCTACCCCTTTCCACCTTACTGACGACCAACTCATCCACTTCATTCGCACCCGTTCACCGCGCCGCGCGGGGGGACTGGACGGCTGGACTACTAAGGAGGCTAAGGAGTTACACGACGACATTCTTCGCCTCTTCGCCAGCGTCCTACGCGCTATGCAACGCACTGGCACCATCCCAGAACCCCTCCTCCACGTGCCAAACCCGTGCCTCCGAAAAGGCCGAGGCGAACTCCCAACGGACCAACGACTTCTCTCGGTGCTTTCCGTTTGGATGTATGCGTGGAAGCGCCAGCTTACCGCAGCCTCACGGACTGGCGGAAAGGATGGACCCACGCCACGAGTTTTGGCGCTGTCCCCAAAGCTACCATTGGGGACGTCAGCACCTCTCTTGCCCTGCGCATCGAACACGCC